CTTGTATAATAAAAAAAGCGCTGTCTCTCTCTTTTATAAGCCAATGCTTACTACGACGAAACGTGTAATGTAAACCACAGGAATACGCTTATTTGAAGTTAACATGGGTGTGTTGAATGGGTTTTTGTGTGTGCAAACTTTTGCAATTGTCCCTTGAAATTAAAAGTCGGCATTAAACGTGACTAACAACCAAGCTTTTTTCAAACAGGGCGGATTACACAACGTTTCTGGTCTCGTGAAAGCGCTTCAGAGAGGAGTACGTCATTCCGAACGAGAATAAACTACGGTGGCCGAGAGAGCTCAACGCGCTGCAAACAGAAAAAACACCTGCAAATTAAGAAAACAACTTCATCAATTTGGCAACACACGCGCTGCAAATGCTCACAACACAACCAAACAAAGAAAGCACCAGCACCTGCTGTCAAACTGATGAAGATATTTTCTTGATTTGCTGGTGCTTTTTCTATTTGCATGTGTTTTCTGAAGTTGCATCGAGTTGAGCTCTCTCGGCCACCGTAATAAACAACGGAATCCTTTCACAAGGCTGTTATCAAAGCAGACTGCGTCTCAGTCAGTTCCCTAGGTAGTGAATCACTAGATCGTGCACACGAGTCCCTGCACTGGTAAAGAGACTATGGCTTAGTAAACATTGGGACAATTGATCAATCAATTTGTAAAACGTCACCACTGGTATTTATCAACAACAGGCAGGCATATTTTGATATTATTTTAATGCTGTTTAAGGTAGACTTATAATATGAAATGTGCATGTTTTGTTTCAAATCCTTGCAACTAATGAAAAGTCAACATCAATGCTCCCTGTGTTGTGCGATGGATTGTGATTTTTTGTGTGCCAAAAAAAAATGGTTGCAACTTCTGTTTCATCACAAATTTAATTAACTGGTATTACATTTTAAATTATTTAAAAGGCATGATTTCATTTCTTGAGATAAATTGTACTTTATTTCTCCATCAGGGTGTGGCCAAAGGTTTCATTGGTGGTTTCTCATCATTGCAAGTTTTCAGATGCTGGCCAGTCACTTCTTCCAAGGTCCCAAACACTGCCATGTGACCGGACTGCTCCACTGCAACTACATAGTGTGTGTGTACTTTCAAAACTAAGACTTAAGGTAATATGTGTAAAAGTTTAGAGTGTTTACTACAATTAAAATGTGCTTTATTGTTCTCAGTGGCATCTACGCTAATATTAGACTGCCTCATTCATATTCCGAGGTCACTGTAGTCACCAGATCCAGTCTGTATCCAGATCAGATGGTGGATCAGCACCCAGAGATGCGCAGCCTGCAATTAAACTGCTGGATTCGTCTGGCCAGAGAAGAACGATGGAGTTTTGGTTCCTTCAACACACGATATTTCTGTTTAATACTGTAAAGTTGCTTTGACACAATCTGTAGTGTAAAAAGCACTATGTAAATACAGTGACTGGACTTTACTTGACTCAGTTCAGTTGAACTGTAACACTTGGTTCATTTATTTTTTCTGACTTCTGCCTAATTTTAAAGATGTAATTGTGAACAGTAGTGATATTTGTAAATGGTTGTTTGCAAACATTTTGTTTAACTTGTTTAGTCTTTTTTAAGTTCATTAAACAAATGTTTAAAATAAATTTTACAGTTGTATTACAAATGTAATGTTTGACAACTGGAGCACTTGAAAGGGATAGTTCACCAAAAAATGGGAATTTGCTGTTATTTTATTGACCCTCAGGCCATCCCAGATGTCAGTGACTTTTTTTCTTCAGTAGAACAGTAAAGAAGATTTTTATCTGAAACGGTGATCCTTGGTGATTCATACACTGCACGTCTGTGGGATTTTTATCTGAAACGGTGATCCTTGGCGATTCATACACTGCACGTCTGTGGCTGCTGGTTTTTGATTGTTTAGCTTCATAAGGCCTCAATGTGTCCTCAGGAGCGTTTGGCAATTTGGTCTTGTCTGTATAAGTGTATTTGACTCTCAAAAGCCGGCAGCCAGAGACATGCAGTTTATGAATTGCAATGTTTTCAAAGACAGTGTTTTCACCTAAAAATGTCCTTTACTGTTCAGTTGAAGAAAAAAAGTTAACTACATCTTGGATGGCTTAAGAGTGAGCCAATTAACAGCAAATTTTCATTTTTGGGTGAACTATCCCTCTGTAGTTTTCTAAATGTTTGACCAATTAAATAATTTTAGTTGAATGGACTATAAAACTATTTCAGTAAAGGTTGAGCCAACTAAAAAATAACAATTCAGGCAACACTTTGAAGACAGAAATTGACTGAACGTAAAATTTCTGTGGAACTTGTTACTAAATAATAATTAGTTGAAACGGCTTGAAATTCTTTACTAATTATTAGTGACCCGGATGTCATTATCTTCACCTGTGCATGATTATTTTCCCGATTTATATTGTTCACCACTTGATAAGAAATCATACCTTGACAAAGGCTACTTGTTTTGCCGAAACGTTGATAACTAATAAGCGATGATTGAGTGTGCAGTTATGTTTTTTCTTTATTTAGTTTGCCCCTTTAACTTACATCTCTAAAATGTGTGCGTTTGTGTTATTTATTGTTATAATGAAAAGAAAACAGACCAGGAGGGCCGAGTAATAATTGCTGTAATTTACTCTTTTGATGTTCACGGTTACTCTGCTACCCGAAGATGTAGATGTTGCTCTTTCATGGATCAGAAGACTTAATGTAGATCACAGTAATGTTTCATTTAAATTCATATTTTTGTCTTATTGGTGTCTCTACGGAAACTTGTTGTGATTTTAGGAAAAAAAAAAACTAATTGTTTGCAGCGAGTACAAAGTATGGTTTTCTTCTTCAAAACACACACACACACACACACATATATATATA